ATATATATATACATAAATATATATACATAAATATATATATATATATATGCCACAATTTCTCTTTTTTCACCAGATTCTTATCTTGGCAACTAAATTCCCTTTTAACATTATCACAGATTATTTATTGGGCAGCTAAACATAAGGCATGATTTTAAGCCTTAACTAATAAGATATGCTTTTTTCAGTGGCATACCCACATATGTCTATACTTCCAATGTTTTCCTTATTCTAATATATCTTCTTTCTTTTGCCCCTTATTCCACTTTTTCTTTCCCTCACTACCTTCATTCTCAATAAGCACATTTCTCTCTGCTCTGCCAATTTCCTCCACCATTTTTTTTCTCTCCAAATCGCTTACTACATTATGAAAAGAATCAACTGCCCACCCTATAAACAATCCAGGGTCTTTACTAAAGCAACATATTATTCTAGAGAGTAAAATGTACTATAAGGCAGGTGTGCGCACGGGACACTATCCAAGGTGGTGTAGCTATTAAATAACTGAAATAAGACACAGTAAATTACACCTACAGATATTCAAAATTGAATTCACTCCTAAGTTTTCCCAGAAGTATATCATCAAAGATAACCATTAGTAATTGACATAATTTAGTAACATGCTATACAATTGATAAAATTATTTCAAATGAAATGTAAATAGGAAGAGAAAGCCATGAAAATCAATCAGGGAATTAACCTCTTCGAGTTAATAAAATTTTTTCCTCATTTTTATATACGTAGTTCACTAAACATTGAACTATTTTGGAGCAATAATTAAAATTCTTAGAGCCAATCCAAATTATCACTCAACATTTGCCATTTTTAATAAGTGCTGAAATGGTGAAAGTGGAAAAAGAACATTTCATTTTGCAAAGCCTTCTCAGTGTAGACACCTACCTTACTTTGTTTTGCATTGGTGAGCTGATGCTGTAGTGACTCAGACCGAAACCTCTTGGTTCATTTTATACCCTTTGGGATAAGTCCTCTCTGATCTTCTTGTTTATATAATTGCGTTTGAATTACTGCTTCCTTATCTGAAAAACATCTATTGAAAATTCATACTGAACCCCAAATAAAATGTGTTTAGATAAACAGGGCTTCCTCTGGAAACTGACATTATTGCAGCATAAATTTCCCTTTCTCCTATTTCAAAATAAAATTACCCTTTAAAATACATCCTTTATTAATATTTACTAATATAACAAAGGATACACACAGAAGGAGGAAAAAACCTTAACATCATCTAAGTAAGATATGGAAATGAAAATTTACTTAGGGCTTGAGTGCCCCAAATTTCACGTAAGTGCTCATTTAGATGTAAATAAAATTACTGCTTATCTACAAAGCAAAAACAACTTTTTATAGAAATCCAGGACAATTGGCACACGTTTCTGAGTAAAACAAAAATAATAAGTTTACGAGTGACATGAACTGAAAGTAAAAAGATGGAAAAAGATATTTCATGCAAATGTTAAAAAAAGGGTTGGGGTGGCAATACTTATAGCAGACAAAATAGACTTTAAAACAAAGACTTACAAGAAACAAAGAATGACATTATCCTATATAATAAAACCCTAATATGCAAATAGACTGATTGGTGGAATAACCAGTCGCTATGATGTGCACTGACCACCAGGGGGCAGACGATCAATGCAGGAGCTGCCCCGTAGTGGTCAGTGCACTCCCACAGGGGGAGGGCCACTCAGCCAGAAGCCAGGCTGATGGCTGGCAAGTGCAGCTACAGTGGCGGGAGCCTCTCCCACCTCTGCTGCAGGCGGGTAGTAAGGAGCCAAGGGTCCAGACTGCAAGAGGGCGCACGCTGGGCTGAGGGAACATTCCCCCCACCCCCCGCAACCCAGTGCACAAAATTCCATGCACCGGGCCTCTAGTATAATGATAAAGGGATCAATCCAAGAGGATATAGCCCTTGTAAATATTTCTGCACTCAGCATAAAAGCACCTAAATATATAAAGCAAATCTTGATGGACATCAAGGGAGAGATTGGGAGTAACACAGTCAGAGTAGGGAATTTTAACATCCCATTGACATCAATGGATAGATCTTCCAAACAGAAAATCAACAAGGAAACAGCAGCCTTAAATGACACACTAGATCTGATTAATTTCACTGATGTCTTCAGAGCAAATATACATTTTTCCCAAGTACACATGGGACATTTTCCAGGATGGACCACATGTTAGGACACAAAACAAGTCTCAACAAATTTAAGATTAAAATCAGATTAAGCATGCCTGGCTGGCGTGGCTCAGTGGTGGAGCATCCACATATGAACCAGGAGGTCATGATTTGATTCCCAGTCCAGGTTGTAGGCTCGATCCCCGGTGTGGGGCATACAGAAGGCAGCCCATCAATGATTTTCTCTTATCTATGTTTCTATCTTTCTCTCCTTCTCCCTTCCTCCCTGAAATCAATAAAAATATTTTTAAAAGAAATCACATCAAGCATATTCTCTGACCACAGTAGAAATAATCAATTACAAGAAAAACTAAAAAATACACACACATGGAGGTTAAATACCATGATACTAAACAAGAATGGGTTAACAGTGTTATAAAGGAATAAATGAAAAGATACTTTGAGACAAATAAAGATGAAAACACAACAACCCAAAATCTTTGGGGCACAGCAAAAGCAGTCCTAAAAAGGAAATTCATAAAATTTACATGTGAAATAACAATCATTTAAGTAAAGACCAAATATGATAGGATATTAAACTGGTCTGAGATCAAATCCTGGCTCTTGCATTTAATAGCAATATGACATTGGCATGCTTGAGCTCTCTTTACTTCAGTTTCTTCATTTATTTATTGTTTATGTAGAGCACTTAACACCATGTCTGGCATATACTAAGTCTTCAATAACTGATAGGTAATTTATAATAATTCAACATTTACTTACTTAGCAAATATTTAGTCACAGTGCCTCGTACATAGTGGGCAGTCACTATATTTGTTGAATGTATAAATGGCTAAGGAAGTGCATAAATAATTATTAAATTTTTAAAACCACATTTTTCTATCTCCATAGCTATAACTCAAGTTTACCTCCTCAATCCATTTGCCTCACTGTAATAAAAATAAGCCTAAAGTTCAACAAGAATTTCCCATTATACTCAGAAAAAAAGTCAAAACTTCTTAGTATCATTTATAAAGTCCTTTATATCTCTAATTTCATCTTTCCCCAGCTCCCACCCCTCCCCTTAACTTCTCCATCCTTTCTCCACTTTCTATGTTCTTCAGCCTAACTGAACTGAGTTCCTCAAATCAGTCAGACACTCTCTTCCCTCTAAGTCTTTTCATATGCCATTCCCTGTGTAACATCTGCCTGACCACCCCCCACTCCATGCTTCATCTCCCCTAACTCCTACTCATCCTTCATGACTTACCTGAGAAAGCACCCTTTCTGCAAAACCTTCTCCGAGTCCCCCAGGCCTCACTAGTGGTTAGTTGTTTAATAGAATTAGGGAAAATATATAGAACATCTAGCACATGGCAGATGATCAATACATCATAGATGTTATACATTATTGACAACCCCATAAGTCTTCACTTGTCCTCATCTTTATAACTAATGAAAGTTAATGAAAAAAATGAGGCCTGGTATAGGCAAGTCTACCTGGAGGGGGAATGAAGAGTTTAGGGCAGAATCTGGAAGACATACCAGGAATAGCCACTTCAGTGGCCCCCAAATCTTGGGAATGTGAGCTAATATGTAGTAAGAGAAGAAATCTAAAAAGAGTAAAGTGAAAATGAGAAATCTAAAAAGAGTAAAGTGAAAATGAGGATGCCAAACTTAACCTGTTTCATGTGATTTCACGCAAGATGGTAAAAGTACAGAAACTGTGGGAATGCTAGATGCTTGTTTCTAATGAAAGTAGTACCTCTGTTGTATAAAGTATTGATTCATGTACTCAATTTCTTGCAGATTTATGTACATATCCCTGGGAAATATATATACACATAATAGGTAACTGACATACTCTTGGCCTACTACTAAAAGAATTATAAAAAATATCATGCATTTGGGTAATAATTTTCTTTTTAAAGGGGCTCTAATATATATGATCTCATACTGTTAAGAGAATCCAGGAAGATTGAACTTTCATTTCCAGACTGGATTTACTCTCCCATCTCAAATAACTATAAACAGGACAAAATACACGAAACAATGGTTCTACACACATGAAAGGTTAGGCAAGATAGGAAAGTGATCCCAAAGAGACAGAAAACAGGCAAAGGAACTACAGCTTACTGCTGGAAGAAAGTTTCTCGTGCAAGGATGGGTATCAAAGGCAGAGGCAAGAGGTGTTCTCCAAACTGAGGAGATGGGCTTAGGA